CCAGAGATGGGACATACCCAAGTTTCGTCCCAAGGGCAGGACCCTGCAGCCGAACACCGCATCGGAAGATGCGAAGGCATCCAGCCTGTAGTGCTGGATGAAGGGCGACGGGGATGCCCAAGTCGCTGCCCTGCAGATGTCTTCTATAGAGTTCTGGGAGACTCAGGCCGCCAAGGTGGCCGTACTCCTAGTGGAGTGGGCCGTGATGCCAGCCAGAACCGGCAAGTTCTGTGCCTCGTAGGCGAGGGCAATGGCCAGACGGATCCACCAGCTAATGGTGGATGGGGAGAAACTCTTTCCTAGCGACAAGGGTTGGAATGACATAAACAGAGCCTCAGACCTACGAAACTCCGCTGTCCGCCTTAGGTAAATCTGTAAGGCCCTTCTTACATCTAAACGGTGCCAACTGTGCTCCCGCTCTCTGGTCGAGTCTGGATAGAAGTCCGGAAGAACCACCTCCTGCGCCTGGTGGAAGACCATGTTTACCTTTGGCAGGAAAGCCAGGTCCAGGCGTAGCACTACCCTGTTATTGTGTAACGTGCATAGATCCTCCCTGGAGGAGAGAGCCCCCAGCTCCGAGACTCGCCTAGCCAAGGTGATAGACACCAGGAACACAACTTTACAAGTGAGGAGCTTCCAGCTAACTGTCTGGAGTGGTTCAAAAGGCTCAGCTATAAGGGCCCGTAGCACCATGGGAAGGTGCCACGTAGGAAACTTGTGGACTGGTGGTGGACGAAGGTGGGGCCGTCCCCTTGAGAAACCTTTTAACTAAGGGCAAACGAGATAGCGGAGTGGGCCCCTCCCCTGGTAGCATGGTGGCCAGTGTCGCCAACTGTCTCCTAACCATGGCTAGGGACAGGTCCTTGTCCAGACCTTCCTGGAGGAAATCCAGGACTTGAGGGACTGTGGCCCTGGAGGGGGTTACGTGCGCGGCCTGGCACAGGAGACAAACGTCTCCCAAGTGGAATTGTAAATCCTGTTAGTTGACTGTCTGCGGAGGCCTCGATGGTTCTGATCACCTTTTGGGACAGAAGGGCGCCTCTCAGGCGCTCCCACTCAATCGCCACGCAGCCAGTTGGAGCCACTGTGGATCTGGATGGACCAACTTCCCCTGTAGCAATCTCACCTTCCCCCGGGGAATCCTCCATGGTCTCTCTGCCGACAGACTCAGCAGGTCCACAAACCAAGCCCTCCTGGGCCAGTAGGAGACCACTAGGATTACTTCGGCCTGCTCTCTCACTACCTTCTGGATGACCTCGGGAAGGAGAGGTGGGCGGGGGGAGTGTAAAGTAGCCCAACTGGCCACTTTAGCCCCCACTGGCGCTGATCTGCCCTCTCAGGGCTCCACGTGGTCGCTGGCCAAAATGGCCACCAGGACAGCAACCCAGCCACCGGAGCCTCCAAGCCTTGAGATTTAACCCTCGAGTGGCTGGAAAAACTGCAGCTAATAACAGTACTTACTGGGAAGTGAAGGAAGGGTCTCCTTGTGAGAAGGAAGCAAGTTGAGTTGAGGATTGTCCAGAAAAGTTGAATCAGATCAGGAGTCAAGAATTTACAACCTCTCTTTGGCCAGATTGGATTAAAACTGGAGTCAGAGGAGAGGAGCACAGAAGCGTGACTTCAGCTTCAATCCAGTCTCGAGGCCAATTGCTGTAATACCATCTCTGGACCATCCTGCAAACTCACTCTGGAAAATTAAAACATTTCTTCAAACACAAAAAATAAGGAGGTGGGGGAAAAAAATGCTTACCTGATCCAAGAGAGCAAGTCTAATCACATAAGCCCTTTCAGTGTGCAAAAGCTCATTTGCAATTTTGTAACATTTCTCTTCATTTGTTTCCTGGAAATACAAGCAATTTTATATTTAGAAAAAAGCTTTAAAAATGTAATTCCTACAATGTTTTTTTTTTTTTTTNAAAAAAAAAGTAAAGGCAGATTTGAATATCCTCCGCATGTATTCAAAGGAGCTCTCCTTTGAGGCTTACTTTTCTTTCGAAAAAGGCTGCTTCCCATCACATGGAAACAGTATTCTGCATGCCTTCACAAGCCCCTTTTGTCTTATAGGAAGTCTTCATCCCAACAAAGAGCAACTCTGTGTACAGTCAAGGGAAGGGAAGGGAAGAGAGCAAAGACCTGTAGGAAGTTAGCACCCACCCAGTGGTGGGTTACGACTGGTACACCCCGGTACGGGAGTACCAGTGCCTGCCGGAGCATCAGGTACGTTCCAGTACGGTGCTCCAGAGGGCCCACCCGCCAGCCCACCGTCCTTACCTGTATTTGAGCTCTTCGGGGCTTCTGCGCACGTGCACGGAGCGTATGGCGCCTGCGTGACGCTCTACCAAGGCAGCTGGAGTGTCGCGGAGGCGTTGCAAAGCATTGTAGGAGGTAAGGATGCATGTGCGCTGAGCATGTGTGCGTGCATGTGTGTGCATGCACGCTGCACAGGTTTATGTGGAGGACGTGGGGCCCTGTTGCACCGTACCCATTGCACTGGGATCCGGAACCCACTACTGCACCCACCCCTCTCCTAGGAAAATGAGATATTTTAGGAAATATTAAAAGGGCAGAGTATTTCCCCTTAAAAGGGAGGCAGAAACTCACCCCCACCCTCACCTTTGTCAATGGGCCATTAAGGTCTGAGCCAGTCTATTCTACATAACTAAGATCTTTCTTCTTCAGGCAGAGCCATAAAAGGAATCCCAAAGCCCTTTCATTACAACATCACTCAGCAACAGCTCAACCAAACTTGGGACTCAAAAGACAGATAGCCTGCAAAGTTAGCTAAGACCTCCACCCCCTGGAATTCTGACCACCAATCAGAATACTTTTCTTACACAGGAATAGGAAGCTCCAGGGCGGGGCCCAAGAGAGTGTATAAAACCCAGGCTCTCTCAACATCTCTGCTCTTTTTCTTCAAGATCTTCAAGGGCTATGATCCCTTTTTCTGCCCAGGACCTCAAACCATGTGATCCTGTTCATCATTCAACCATCTTTCCAAACAGTCTCCATGTTTCCAGTGTCTTTCTCCCCACTCGGAACTGAACCCAGATGGACATTTCTTCCAACAGACTCCTACAGTACCTTCTACAGCAGTGCCGGATTTAGATGAAAAGAGGCCCTACGCTATTCCACTTATGAGGCCCTTTCACCTTCCATTTTTAAGTTTGTAAATTGCAATAGACAATAAAATACATCATTACTGTGATATATATCAATATATATCAATATATATC